TTTTATATTAGGGAATTCGATTCCTCTGTCTAAATTGCAATGGAATGTTGTTAAGTTGTATAGTTTCATTACATGATAGAATAATTATATTTGATATACCACACAGGGATAGCATATTGTTTGTTCCCCATTGACGTCGCGAACACGATTTATCACCTATATCCACACATATCAACGTAAGAAAATGACCTTCGGATTCTATTCACACACTTCTCTCATTGACTTCTTCCGATTTCATCAGTACTAATATTTTACATTTCTCGAGTACTGTACCGGTGTTTCATCATTCCTGTCTCACGTGTTTGGTGTAGATTCGATTCACAAGGACGCAGTAGTCAACTTCTGCCTTCATTTAACTACATTACAATTTCGAAGTGTAGCTCAGCCACGCTGCTTTGTGTGTGTGTGTGTGTGTTGGTGAGTTCTATGCGATGGCCTATCGATCATGTTTCAGGATCAGTCATTGCACAGCCAGCTTAATTTCGATGTTCTGAGAGACTAACTGACCTAGATTGAATGTAGTGATTAGCGTCAGTGCAGGATATTTTACAGATTGTGATTATGGGAAATGAAGTGTGATTGAAACGTGGATATTAATTAATATGTGATTGTGTGATACGAAATCATATTAGCCTATTGTTCAGCTATACTCTACCACAATGAAAACATTCTATTGTCGTATCGAATGCTATTACGTAGAGGAAAGTGAAGCATCAGATAGTCTCATTATAATCCATTGCATGACAGATGTGTGCCTCACAGCCCTCTACTACGTTTCTTGGTGGAAGTCAAGAAAATTTACTCGAATGATGCAACAAATAGAATCTTAGGAGATCTGACAAATATTCCGAGAGGGAGAGAGAGGGAACTAGGACACAATTAATTCCACATGGAGCAGTAAAAGGCTTAGAAGAGCACTAAACTCAAGGGACAGTGAGGGCAGGCTACAGTTCTAGAAATGAATGGTGTGACCATTATTATCACAAGAAGAATGCACTTTCTGCAGCTAAATTAGGAATAACTCTGACATCCATCTGTAGTTACCTTACTGTTACGTTTGAAGGATATGATGTCTAATACGTTTGTACCAACGCGTATTTACAAATTGAAGTTTTCCTGTGAAGTCAGCTTTCTGTCACACCTTAAGAAGACTTTATCTTTGAGTACGGAAGACATGCTAAGATGCAGACTACGTGTTCTATTCAATTGTGCGTGATGGTAACTGTCGATATTCTGGTGACTCACACAATAATTTTCTGTGAATTGATTTCATCGTGAGTTGCTTTCCAAAAATGTGGTGATGGATTTGTGATGGACATTGTGAAATTTGATTTGTTTGAGGGAATCGACTGGTACATTTCAGTGATCTTCTCAGATTCATCAGGAAAACGGAAGTTAGTGTAACCCACCTCCATAATGACCTACATATCATGTTGTGATATATAATAGGTAGTGGAGATGGTTGCTTTTCTTGCGTGCCATGTTACTTTCATTGGTGAAGCTGTGTACCGATGAATTCACCTGGTCTTCCTTCACGGAAATGAAAATGGCTTTTGATCGTGCCATATTTTCTTTTCCTGAGGACACTATGTGCTGTCTGCAATGTGGGTTGTGTTGATATCGTCATAGATCCACACTTGAGATGGAGCAAATTATTCTAAAATATCGGACATGCAACAACCTGTTTATTGATTCGGATCCCATTGCATCCTTTCACGTAGAACTTTATGCTCAGAAAACAAAGTATAATGCCTGAACCAAATTTTATTTGTCTCACATTTTATTGGATCAGATAAAGGATGCAAGTTTAGTTACTTGCCTACTGGGAAAGAGTGAATAATCGGCTATTTCCATTCTGTTTATCACTCATATTGTGTTTTCATTGATCCCAGCTACTGACAATTTGCTTTTACATTTTCACGTTATTCCGACTTATAATGCTCTATTCTCAGATTCCACTGACGCATGGTTTTATGAATGTAACATCTAATTAACCACTTAAATCTCTCTGATCTAATCGCTACGTTAGACTGTATGGCCTTGTGAAGTCCTAAGGATCCAGCACCGAATTAACACTCATTTCAGATATTTTGAATTCTCTATTTCATGAAATTTTCTTTTTGCCTCAGGCGATCCTCACGCCTTTAGGAAATTCTATATAAAGATCATTCGATCTCGTTTACACACTAGACACTGTGAACATTAAGAAAATGATTTTGTGCTCGATCGACATAGAATCTTTTTTTTTAATAATAATAATAATTGCTTTATTCCAAAAACATAGAATCTTTGTTCACTGATGTTGTGATTCACAACAGCGTTGATTTCATTTGCGATTACATAACAAGCAATACAATTCAATTACATATATCTGTCAATTACGTCGGAGATGTTATCTTGACATGTACAGAAAATATCAAATCCGTTTTCCCAGAAGAAGCATTCGAACAAATCGATGGTGTTGCAATGGAAAACCACATTGGGAAGCTGTTGCAGATATATTTATGTCTGAAATGGAGAGAGAAATGGAAGGTGTGCTAGGAAACGCTATGATGCATAAGTGCTATGTGAATGATACACTTATCATCGGTGACAGTGATGAGTCGATTGAAAACGCCATTACTATCTGTAATAGTATTCATTAAAATATTCTAGTAACCTGAGAATTCTAAGTGAATAACAAGTTTGGTTTCTTGAATGTTTGAATGATGACTGTGAGAGACGATGGTACAATTAAGCGGTCCGTACTTCGCAAGCAGATATGTGATGGACAATATCTTTGTTTCACCAGTTTAGTTCCTATTCGGTATTGACGTCCCGTAGTGAAATACCTGTTCCCAAAAACCCGTAAAATTTACATGGGCGACACACGAGTGGATGAGCTACGCCACACACATCCAGTTTCAATTAACTTATGCTTATCCTGCATAAGGAGAGACTATCTTTTGAGAAGACAGCTTCCGTATCGAAGAAAGCTACCTTCGTTAAGCTACCATTCAAGAGTGAGCAAATCATGTGACTGAGAGGTCAAAGGCTTCGGTTAGCAACCAAACGCACATCCTACACTGCATCTGTCTGTCTTGAACCTCGAACACTCTCGATTCCTGAACCTACGAATAAAGGACGAAATTCTGTGGACTCTACTTTAAACTATATCTGCATGTTCGTGTGCATTCACAGTGACATACATATAGGTAGGTCCAATAGGACGTTCCAATGTCATCGAAAAGTACATGTTCCGAAGTGATTATCAAGTCACACAGAAACTCCAGTTGTAATTAACCTGAATAGTAATCCATCATCGCCCATCGCAAAGCACTTATTAACGTCTGATCACAAAATCAACATTGATGACTGATTCTCAATTACTTCACATCTCTCTAATTGAAGGTTATTAGAGATGATGGAGCACTTTGGATTAATCATACACATCTTGTACTCTATGTACGGAAACAAAAAATAATAGATTTCAACCTCTGTCTACTACACGACCTATTGAATACGAGTCGTTGTTGTTATGTACTTTTGTTTTATTTGAGTGAGTAATTCTCATACATTTTATCTTATTATTGCCAACCATGCCAGCTATAAAGCGATAGTGGGAGAACTACGAAACGACGTCGTCACCTCGCGATATTTGTCTTCTAAATGTTTCACTTAAATTTCTCAAGGGAATTATCTGTGCCAGTTTCTTCGAGTGAAGACCCCCTGTGTGAAAATTGCTAAGTAGGAGTAATAATTTCATTCAGATTGGTTGGTGAATACATAATCTTCACTCGAGATATGTAAATGGTTCATTTACAGACATTATCTTCCTTAGATGTTGAGAAATATTTGGGAACCATGTTGATGTGATCAATGTTATTGACAGTAACACATGTTGTCCTGTTGAGACAACAACACTGAGTGGAAGAAAACTCACATTCTAAAGCTTCTCCACAGTGTGCCGTAAATGGGATTAAATTTAAATATCACTTAATAGATTACTGAAATCCTGTGGAGATCGACTATTTGAATTTGTGTATTGTTTATATGTTGATGACTCCTTGTTTCGATTTATTGCATGGACCTAATACAAGGAATTCAGCGGAATACTAATTTACGATTACTGTATCTCGTCCCTTGTTCTTTCATTCACAGGTATTCAGTTATTACTGATTGCAGCTATAAATCAGCATTATTTTCATTTAATTTAATTTTTTAAATTTTTGATTACAGTTTGATTCCACACTGTATTTTTGGTACAAGTATGAAATTTTCAGCATGTGATAACGGTAGCCCAAGATTTTCAGGCCGACCATTGATATCAGGTGTGTGCCGGCAGGGGATAGAACCTCGGACCATGTGCATGGTCAGTGATAGTCCTAACCACTGTGCTTCCGACGCACCCGACCTTCTTCAGAGTTCTCTCAAGATGAACATAGTGTATTTGCAGTTGTTTATGAAACAGCGACTAATCGAGGAGCAAGAAAATGTGCACAGAATTAAACCAATATCACAAGTGATATAAGCAATGTTTCTCCTGCCTCAATATGCCATGTAGTGTTGTTCACCGAGGTGTTGACTGTGACGGACAGAACTGTATAAGTTCAGGTGGAATCTCTCTTAGTATACATTTGACTTCCAAAGCGAGTAGACGCAAAGAATAAAGTCAAGCAGCTCACAACAGTGTTCAGTGTATATAGTCAAGGTAATTGGTTGAAGAGTAGTGGAGTGAAATAACAATGAAAGCGTCGTTACTCAGTGTGAAGCGAACACTTGATTTAAATCTGACTGTGAATCTGTTGTAATCTAATTAATCAATCACGAAAATAATCAAGAGCAACCTGAGTTCACCGACACTATTCTTGTGAAGTTGTATCCTCTCGACTGGATTCTTTTATCTCATCGCTATTTAAAGGATTAATCGAAATGTGTACAGTCCAAAGTTTGTTTCATCTTTGAGTGGGTTGATATGAATATGTCTATATAAAACATATTCAGTGAGTCAATCAGTTTAGGCAGTAAACAGTATTCATCACTCGAACAAAGTCGATTCAGTTAACAACAGATTCAGATAAAGTGTTGAGAATTCTGACTACAGAAATGCACCAACTATAAGATTGAATGATGATTGTGAGTTATATACTGAATGTATAGTATATGAGAGACTGTATTTCATGTATTATTCATAACGGTTATAATAATAATATCATTTTTAATGACCATAATAACCCTGATAACATATAGACATGATATTGTCATCTTTAATGTGTTATGCGACGATCATCTTGCGAAAATATTGTGGAGAGTATTCAGACGAATTCTCTGATTGTTGCTGATTTCCATTATGGGTAAATTTTGTTTTGATTGGTTGGTGATTTCCTGTTGAATGTGAATCTGTGTGTCTGTGAATTGAAGTGCTCGTTCGCAGACTTGAGAATATGAAGCATATGGTCATGGGTGTGTACGGGGGGATGAAACATATCTTAAGGTGATATATTTCACGGATATAAAGTAAGTGGTGACTTACTATGTGTTGTGTCAGGATTATCAATCATAAATTTAGGTATCATTTGGATTCGTTGATTAATTCCATATGTTCAATGTGTATTGAGAATTCGACCCCAATGGAGATGGAGCTGTTCACGTGACATACATGAAGAATAGGAGATGATGCGTTGTGTAACAAATATACACATTTTCGTTCAAAATAGTAGCTTCGAATATATCAGCAAGAGGCTTTAGACCTATGTTTCGTGCTAGTCGTCACTCACCAGGCACTCACCAAGTCTTTTCTAATGTCTTCATAAAACCTACACAGTGCTGCACTCAGAGAGGTTAACACAGAGCTAGTCGGCCAGCGATTGTCTTCCTGTAGGGCTGTATTGGATACTTTGATTGGAAACCAGTTACTAACTAGTGTAATGTGTCCACTCCTGTGTCTGGTGAACACTGAATTCCATCACAGTTGAGTTTGCCATAGAGGCCACCATCCCACTAGGTGGCTCGACAACTCCGTGCACTGTGAATTACACTGAATGACGTGGGTTCGAATCTCGGAAGGGAATCATCTCGGAATTCCTTCAAGGTTGCAGATACGCCTTGATGACTGATGAGTGCCAACTAGCACGAAACCTAGCTGTAAGGCTTCCTGGCGATTACCTCCAACCGACTGATATCAACAATTGAAAGTGATGCGAGATTGAGAGTCACCTAGTGACATGGTGACGACATTGCAAACTGAACTGTGATAGAATTCAGTGTTCACCAGTCACAGGAACGGACACATTACACTAGTAACTATCTAGTATCGCATGAAAAGATCACTACCGTGTTTCGTTTACCGACGAGGAAATCTCTCATGCATTTAAAAAGGCTCTTGATAGTTCACAGAAATTCCGTCTCCACTGGTCATCTTGTACGCGCATAGTAAATGTGTGAGAGTTCACATACGAGATGTAGTATGAGCTTCATTGAAATCAGAAATATGTGAGATGTGAAATTTTGAAGCGACACGAGAATTGAGTCCAAGATTTCTGATATGGCTGACACACATCTCGATATCTGAATTTCTCTGCTTTATATGGCCATATTTTCTTTGTGTCGCGTAATCCATTCCTCATTAATAATTTCCACTTGTATTATTCAGCGCTGATATTTTTCTCAGTATTTCCAGGTGGCGGTTATTTTGTGGTCACTGTGCTGCGTAGTTTCATTTTCACAAATTTCGAAGTTCAGTGAAACTATTTACTGGAGTTGGTGCATAACGATTGCACTGATGTGGTTTCTGGATATCGTTCTACTAATCAGAATTATACTGATGGTGACTGGACGGTATGTGATCATCAGATTTTCAGTAGGCGATGAGTGAGTAAATATGATATTTTGATTTTGTCTCACCTCTGCCCATATCATTTCCCTTTGTACATGTTTTTAGACTTACTCAAATACTCGGTCATCCTGATGAGGGAAGAAGATTCAGTCAGGCAGTAACATTAGGCATTATCGTGTGGAAACTGGCTGTACAGACTGTTCTCTGGCTTTATTTGAAGGAGAGTATTGGAGGTCCACCATATGACCGATATCTAACTTACAATGGTGTAACTCAATTTCGCCAAAATGATAACAATAAAAAACCAATACTTGCGAGACATCGTGCGGTTTTCGCAGTATTTCCATTTTGGACCACCATGCTCATATGCTTATTAGCAGTGTGCAGTCAGATTGTCAATTTCGGTATGTCATCACTTTGGGCGTGTCGTGGAAATGACCAACCAACTGAGTGTCATGAATGCGAGGAACAACAGGATACAGAATTTTCACCAGAGCATTCCTCGCTAGAGTAGTGAATTTCCCATTGATTTTGTCAAACTTTTATCACTTATTATCGAGAAACTATTGCCAAATATTTGTATGTCGTGTATGTGAGTTCTGACTTGGTTCTACTGGAGTATCAGATAACTTGTAGACGTTTGTCTTTCCACTGAAGCAGTGTTCATCGGGTTACAAAATATAAGAGATTTCCGTCTCTTACTTTTCATCAGTTCTCTTCAATTTTGATGTGATGAAGCATCCTGTTCGTCGGTAATGTGAGGCAAGTTTGCGGTGTAATGCTTTTTATGTGAAATCTGAGATTATGATATGGTGTCATACCCTAACAACAAAAGACAAAGGCCAGGAAACAGATCGTTTATTAAGGAAATCAGCACGTTTATATATATATATATATATATATATATATATATATATATATATACATATATTTCATGTGCATTATTACAGCTTATTCAGGCAGACAAACACAATCTTCTGATTAGCTCTCTTGCTCAAGGTTATTCTGTACTGCTTGTGACTGGTTTTTCAGAAAGTCAAGCCATATATCTGCGAATCGTATTTATCCACGTTAAGTCTGCTGTGATTGGTTGTTGAATCAGTCTTGTACATTTTTGCTCACGGCCAATATTAGCGACATATACAATGACGTAAAGTGATGTCAGTGATCTACTCCGGTCATCCAGAAGATAACCACACGCGCACCGAGGGCGTGGCTATCATGATGTCACCAATGGCTACAAAGGCCCTGATGAAATGGGAGGCAATCTCGTCCAGGATAATGATCGCCATATTCAACTCCAAAGGAAGGAAAGTGTCAATTATACAATGTTTTGCACCCACAAACAACGCAGACCTCCAAAATAAAGAAGAATTCTACAGACAACTACAGGCAACATTCGAAAATACTCCAGCTGGTGATATTAGAATACTAATGGGAGACATGAACGCCAAACTGGGACCAGAAAACACTGGAAGAGAACTCATTATGGTTAGAGAAGCTCTCGGAGAAACGAATGAAAATGGAGAACTCTTCGCCGACTTCTGTGCCTTCAACAAACTAGTGAATGGTGGCAGCGTATACAAACACAAAGATATCCACAAGGCCACATGGATGTCACCAGATGGGCAAACCAAAAACCAAACTGACTTCATCTCAGTGGTGCTCAAGGAAGTGGAGGCGCAGCCTACTGGACACACAAGTAAGAAGAGGGCAGACGTTGGCTCATACCACTATCTCGCACAAGGGACAATCCAAATCAAATTAGAAGTTTTTAAAGAAACAGTGGGTGCAGAAAGACCACAAGCCAACTTCGATATTAAAATCCTGAAGAATCAGGCCTCAGAAGACATCTCCACTGCAATCATAAGGAAAAAGACGGAAGCACAAATCAACACTAACGAAGATACCAGAGTTGAAAAGCACTAGAACAACCTGAGAGCTATGTGGAGTCAAACCTGCATGTAAGTTCTAGGCAGGAAGAAGAGATAGGACAAACAGTGGCTCACTACGGACACTTGGAAACTAACAGAAGAGAGAATGATAGTGAAACAAAAGATTATCCAGTGCACCGACAAGCAACAAAAACAGGAGTTGAATGCAAGCTACGATACGCTGAACAAATGAGTAAAGAAGAGTACCAGGGAAGACAAAAGAAAATATTATGAAACCATGTCAAGTGAAGCGGAACAAGCTGTAGGCAAAGGAGACCTCGCCACACTCTACCAAACAACTAGGCGCCTATCGGGAAAACGTTCGACACAGATTAAGCCAGTAAAGGATGACAATGGAAAGTCAATCGCCAAAGAGGTGGAACAGAGAAAGCACTGGGCTGAACACTTCAAAAGACTTCTAGATCGACCGCCACCTATAACACGTCCAACAATACCAACAACGGAAGCAGAACTACCAGTGAACATCGACCCTCCGACGAAATCAGAGGTCCTGAATGCAATCAAGATGCTAAAAACCGGAAAAGCAGCAGGATCAGATGGAATCCCAGCAGAAGCATTGAAAATGGACCCGGAGACAACAGCGGACTTGATGACGCAACTACTGGAGAAGGTGTGGAAAGAGGGCAAAGTACCTGAGGATTGGAAGAAAGGATACTTATTCAAACTACCAAAGAAAAGAGATTTAAGTCAATGCAAAAACTGGCGTGGAATTATGCTGCTGTCCATCCCAAGCAAAATACTAAGCCGATGCATCCTGGAGAGAATCAAACAAGCCCTGGATGAAACCTTCGACCGGAGCAAGCTGGATTCAGGAGAAACAAGTCGTGTATTGATCAAATCGCCAGACTACGGATCATGATTAAGCGAAGTTTGGAATGACAGTCACCTCTCTATCTCAACTTCATTGACTTTGAAAAGGCTTTCGACAGCGTCTATCAAGAGGTCATCCCGCAACTACTTCGCTACTACCAAGGGGTCCCACCGACAATTATACATCTCATCCGATAGTTATACGACAACGCTGCATGCCAAGTAATCCACAACGGGAAGCTTACGGAATCTTTCGAAGTAAGGACGGGAGTGAGACAAGGCTGACTACTATCTCCAATGATTTTCCTGATTGCAGTAGATCGGATAATGTGACAGACAACGGCCAATAATGAAACAGGCATGAAATGGACTCACACAAAATTAGAACTTGGAGGATCTGGACTTCGCCGATGATGATATATGTCTGATTTCCCACAGACTAGAAGATATGCAAGTGAAAAGCGACAAGTTGGCAGAAGAAGCATCAAAGATAGGACTTGAATTGAACACAGATAAAACAGAGGTGATGAAGATTACTGGCCAACACCAACAGCAACAACAACAGACAACAATCAGCCTGCATAAATAGGAGGAACCTGAAAGAAACAACCTCCTTCACCTACCCAGCTACCTACATGGGAAGCATCGTTTCAACTACAGGCGGACGAAACTGACGAAGATACCAAAGCCAGAATCGGAAAAGCAAGACAGGCTTTCATTACTCTGAAGTTTGTGTGGAAGTCAACATCACTCACCATTAAAAATAAGATCCAGATTTTCAACTCCAATGTGAAGTCAGTGCTACTTAACATACGGATCAGAGACTTGCACTGCGCGTCATAAAGAGCATCTCAACATCAAACCTTCATTAACAGTTGTCTTCGCTCAATACCACTCAAGGTCAGATGGCCGGCCAGAAAAGATCAGCAACAGTGAGGGATCTCTGACAATGAGCGAACCAACACAGCAGGGACGGAATGTGAAACAAATAGGCAGGAAGAAATGGAGATGGATTGGCTGGCCATACACTGAGGAAACCATCAAGTGAGTGACATCACTAGACAAGCCATCGCTCGAGTGGAACCCGAAAGGGAGGCGGGTGGCGAGTTGGTCGTCAGTGCAAGGGTGACTTGTAGGAGGTCATGCGAGGAGGAGATGAAAGCATGTGGGCACACTTGGAGCGGGGTGAAAAAGTTGGGAGAAAACAGAAGACAATGGAGATGCGCAGCTGAAGCCCCATGTTCCTCTTGGAATTAAAGGATATAATATTAATAAATAATAATGTCTACCAATCGACTATCAGCCTGCTCTCACCACAATACGAGAAAGTAACGAGAGATGATTCAGCTACTCCAATTCCGACTTTGAAATTGATTGTTTATTGGAGTTGTTAAAAAATTGACACTTTTGAGGAGATGAGTGAATTTGAAAGGTGTTACCAATAACAATAATAGAAACAATAATGATAATAACAGTATGGATAATAACAGCTTTATTTTGAGCAAAACCTTTAATATAATGTGGAATTGTCAGCATGTAATAGAATATTGCATCGGATTTTCTCTTCACATTACATATATCGACCGGATGGGATGAGGGAGTAATGAACAGGGCACGAACATTGATAATATTTTCGAATAAGAATATGAAAGTGAAGTCTGAGTGGAATCATTAACAACATCATATCAACGGAACAAGGAAATTACAGGTGTCATTCACTCAGCATTTCACGGGAAGTTAGTATTGTCATGCCTTGCACTTTCCTCACCACATGAAACGTCTAGCAAATAGGTATCGCAGAGTTCTTCTAATTACTCATCGGAGGATAAAGTCTCTGATGGCTGATTCTAGTAGTAGTTGACGGAATTCGAGGGAGATTTGTGTATAGAGAAGGTGCTCAGAGTCAGAAAAGATGATATTCTCTAATTTCTTGTGTCAGCTGAAGTGTCTCTGCTTAACAGTGTTGACGGCTTGGTTTCACGAAAACCTTGTCTCTCTACCGACAGCTTTTAGTGTCCTTCGCAGTGTAACAGAGTGTCTGAGGTAGCCTAGGAAAGACTGAGGCAGGGGAGCGATAAGGAAGAGCAGGTAGGGTAGGAGAATCGACAAACTGTAAAAGTGCAGACTGAGTGATACACGATTTTCTTCCTTACCCTCTTATGTGGAGGGTAAGGCGAAGTATCTTTCAAAAAAATAACGTGATGTGGGAAGACCAGGGAAGATGAGAGAAAACTTACCACACAAGTCCAACTTAGCATCAACCTGTCTGCCATCTATAATATAAGAATCATGGAAATAAACTAGTTGATGTACTTGGCGCTGTGTCTAAAAGTGAAATTAACAAGCTGTCATTTCGTGAGATTTGGTTTAGGACTGTTTGGAGAAGATCACTGAGCAATTTCTGATGAAAGGTTATTCATTTTGGAACAGTCTGAAAGAGGAGTAACAGGCATGGGAGAAGTCAAATCATCGGTATTCTCAACAAAATTGGCTTCGTCATAATGATGTAGTGAGTCATACAATAAGAAAGTAAACAGAAAAGGAGCGAGAACGGCTGCTTGAGGAACTCCAGCTAGAGCAATTAAAACTTCGGAGTTAGTTAAGTGACTGACACAGTTGACCAATTCAATTAGCAGTAGCGTTTGGAGAGGTTTAGTTAGAAAATAGTGTCAGCTGTTAGATGTTTTGGTGAAATAAACCTACAGAGTCGAAATAAGAGTCTTCCAAGAGCACAACACTGAGTTTTGTGTTAGCAAATTTGATTCCTGTGCTGATATAAGAGTATAAAGTGGACACTGCTCTATGGAGTAAAACACCATGACAGGATAACTTTATTTGATATAAGAACCAGTGAGAAAGTTTTACTTATGCAGCGATGTTGTAGCAATGAAAATCTCTCGATCATAATCACACCACGCTAT